ATATTATATATATATATATATATATATATATATATATATATATATATATATATATATATATATAAATAAGCGAGGCGACATCGCATCACCTCGACGACATCGCCCCGCCTGGGAGAAGGAAAAGGCAACATCGCCGAGGCGATGCGACGTCGCCTTTTATAATATATATATATATATATATATATATATATATATATATAATCTTTTATATATATATATATATTTATTAATTTATATATATATATAAACGAGGCGACATCGCCTGGGAGAAGAGAGAGTCAACGTTGCTTCGACGACGTCATCGAAATATATATATATATATATATATATATCGAATGGTATACCGCTCGGTATACAGTATCGTACCGTACTGAGCAAACGTTGAAACTCTGGTACGGTACGATATTTCAATCCTTGTGCAACACTATTAAAGAAAGTGCAATATGAAGAAGATAACGGCTGAGAAAGTCTTTGGCAACAATGCTCTAGAGTCACATTTGTAATTGGAACCTCCTCCGAGAACTCACGTTAAACACTGTGCACTTCAAATTGCATGATATAAAATAACTAACATGCAAATTGCCTGAAAATTTTGAGATTTAAATTTTCCATGTTTAATGGTAATACACCAACTTTCTAGTTTGGCATAAATTTCTCTGTGATTATTTATATGAAATTTCCTTTCCCACTGCAGGTACTTATTGAGGCAATGTACACACATAATGTGTACATTAGTGCTGCTACCATAATCTTTATAAGTGATCTAATGCAGCAAAATAATGCATGAACCAAAAAAATTTCACTCAAGGTTTAAATCCTGGTACAATACTGGTTTTGACACCTTTTTAGATCAGTACGAAACAAGTGGACAGGTTGTATACCTACCTCTACCACAAGATATCAGTAAAAATTAAGAAACTATAAGTACTAACTGGCACCGAATTACATGGTCTCAATATAGGTCCTGGATTAAATAAATAAATGTAGGTCAATATGTATAAGTTTGATTGCTATTTGTAATCTTGCAATTAATAGCCAAGCAACTTGTTGCGCCTCAACACATTTTAGGGAGAACCAGCTAGCTCCAGGTTCAAGGGGCATTTCAACCCTAAACACAATTCATCTGATGATGGGTGGTATCTACCAGTCCACAGCCTACGGACAAGTGGACCAGGGTAAACGGGGCAGTACACCAAGTATAAGACTTGTACCACTTGATACAAGGCTTGTACCATCTGATACAGTAACTTTTTCCATTATTTTTTCCTTTTTTCAGGATTTTTCAAATATTGATATGTACCAGCATACACCGACACACAATATGCCAGTATGATTCCAGCCTATACCAGTCCAGGCTAAGACTGATATGGGTACAGTATCCAAGATTAAAAACCTTCACCGAAACACTAAATATTTCTGCTCAAGATAGCAAAAACCAATAAGTACCTCAGTATCTAGGATTTTCTGACAACTGAAACACACTTGAAAAAGAAGTAATTCCAAAGAAAATGGAACTAAAGGAAATATGCAACAAAAGTCTGTACACCCATTCTCAAATATAATACTGCACAATGTAAGATGCAATTGCTCATATGCCTGAATCAAAGCAAGTCAAAACAATTTATCCTTAAATCATTGATAAAGCAGCAAAATATGTGGCATATCATGGTACATCCAGTGTACAAGGATCATGCAGTGTATGATGGTCAACAAGATGCTTGTGTATATATCTAAAAGAAGTACCACATACATCCAATAGCATCCAGGTACTTACCTGAAGGAATCAATTTGGCCATATTTATGTTCAATGATTCCTGCCTCTAAATGAGCCAATGACACAATTGCTAAAGCTTCCCCTTCATTTAACATAGTACCCCAGTAACCAGCAACATGTTCAAAATCTCCAAACTGATGTAAAGTGCTAGTCTTGAATAACTGCAGTAGATCATATAGAGAAGATGACAGCTCCTCTGTAATCCTTTGTTGGAGACAGAAAAGCCTACATAACCACCAATATAGACTTCTGCAACCATTTATATAAGATGTTTCCACCTCAAGGACCAACTCCTTTATCTTGCTCAACAAAATCTTTGAGTATACAATGTACTGAAACAAAAAGTATGTTGCATTATTAAGTAGGTTCAACAAAAGCTCGTTACAAGCTTTATATAGTATGAATAAATCTGAACATGCTACAACAGACTATATCGCATCCAACAACAATGAAAATAACATTAGAATTTGTACCAAAGCTATAACACAAAAATTTTATCAAATGCAAAGACACACTTTGCAGTTTGTACATTAACAAAATGCTTAGAAGCATTATCATACTTAAAGCAAAAAGACACACAAAGAGAATCACTAAGGAAGACACTTGAGTTCCAATTATCACCTAAAAATATACACAAAGAACGTATATTTTCATCAGAAGAAATTTCATATTTCTGTCATATAACTTTTTCTTGATCTAAAGAAAGGCCCGACAAGATCAACTAATTTCAGGTTGATAGAAGCACAAGCTATGCCTTTCCAAGAGCCAGCATTGCTCAAAAGTACATACCATGGCTCTGATCTCATATTTTAGGCCAACTTTAGTCTAGGTTCCCATGTAGGATAAACTATCAGCTGCAGACAGCAGTTGGTTCTAAGCATTCGCCCTCAACAGCACTGAATATAATTTTGAGATCTAAAAGAAATGTTTGCCCCTGGAAGCACATATCACTGTCAGTCGACAGTGATCTATCTTTTTTGGCTTAAAAACCAATAATAAAATGCATCAAGCTGACAGGTCAAGATTGAAAGGCCAAGCTCGCAAGGTTTCGACAAAAACTTGAATCTAACAGGCACAACCAAGTTCTGAATATAAAAGAATTCTAAATGGAAGTTACAAGCATCTAGCAAATGATTTGTTTGCTTGCATCACCTATAAATATTGAGTAACTAGCAAATAAAGATGTCCAGATTCTAGCATTAGAAACAAGAGAAAAGAAACGATAAAAAAGCAACCAAGAAGTGGGGCATGAACTTCAGACAAGAAGGCAAGTTTCAATATGGTCATATCAGATCATAAACAACTAGGCATAATTGACCTGATAAATCAATTTAAATAGTTCGATCTCGGATATGTGACCAGACATAACCAAATCAACAATTGTGTTGAACAAAACATACCATGATTGATTTGTCATATTAGCCTTGCCATATTTTGCTTGTTCACAATGGAACCGATACATCATGAGATTAATTGGCTGGTGGCATTCATGGTGTCAGAATCAATAATATAGAGGGTCAAATCATAAAATAACAGTGTCATAATTGAATAAACAGAAACTGCATGTCTAGTATACAAGTGATAATGGTTGTGCAGGCGCACACAGATTAAATAGGCCAAGCTCAAGACTGCAACTCTCACATGATTATTGCATGTTTAAATCAAGATTCAGAACTTTTTACTCTTGACCACTGCAACCTAGAGCTGCACACATTCATGACACCAACAAGAAGTATATAAAAATGTGTATTATATCATGATCTACCAGCATAGTTCATAATACATCACAGCGTAGTTATTAAACCCATAACAAACTGGCAGTCCAACCGAAGAAATTGGGAACCTAATCCTTGGCCAGTCCGGTTCATTAATTGAATTATTTTTCCATATTGACCCAAATACCCTTGAATATAGTTAATTTTTATTTAAATTTTGAGAATATTGTAGTCTTTCTTGAAAAGGAAAATATCAGATGCTTCAGTATGCACTTTGAAGACTCTCTAAAAAGCCCCTCTTATCAGCCTCCCCTAGCCTCTCTATATTCTTTCACTAATGTCCTTTCTCGCTCTTTTGTTGTCTCCCTCTCTTATTCAATCACTTTCATCCTTCATTTGCCTCTTTCCTTTTCTTTTTGTCCCTTCCTTTTTGTAGTAATTCTCTTTCACGGTTGTTATTTTTCTTATCCTTCTCTTGTCACCTGTTGACCTATTTTCCTGCCATCCAACTCACTGAAATTTGGACGTTTATCTTTTGATCATCAAATTTTATGAATTCATTTGATAACAAAGAGGCATTTCACAACCAGTTGACCCACTGGTCCAACCGGCGATCCAAGACTTTATTGGGTGAATGACCCATCCAGGTCACACAATTTTGCAGTAGAGATAATTTATACCATCAAAACATAATGAAGACATGCAAGGAAGACAATAATACAAAAAAGCATCCTTACTTTGTTGTGGGCAATTGATTTAACATCTACAAATTACAGATAAATCTCATATATACAAATTTGTTAATCTGTTAAAGTGTTTAGAACCTCTCCTAAAAATTTATGACAATTTTAGCATCCGGTGATCTGAATCCATCATATCACATAAGAATCAGTAGGTTGTATTCATATTATAGAATCATCAAAGCCAATAGCTTGAGAAAACAGAGACCCTCTGATGGAGATTCGTTAAATGAAATGAGGACAAAAGAGGAGAGACTCTGTCGGGGAAAAGGCTATACTTCGTCAGTACATTGAGAAAACACAAAGTTCGATACCTGCAAGAGCGCAAATTTCCCATGCACATCTGATCCAACTGAAGCCACTTGATTACGTGCCCACACGTCCCACTCACCTCCGCAATCACTAATCCCCTCCTTCAGAAGTGGAAATGCCAGAGGGAAAGGAGAGAAATTCCCAATAGGCCTACAAAATTTACGAAGCCACGGATAAGTCTTAGGACTTGGTTTCAGCTTCTTGAATGCATAAAACTTGGGATTAAAAAAGCGAAGGGAGATCACCCAGTCACGTTCTGCTGCGTGAAGGCAAGAAGCGCCGCGACGCCGAGGCACATCAGCAAGGCGCACCTGCCCTCCACATCCACATCCGGGTCAGAATCTGCATCAAGAACTTGGAGCCAGGCCACCGAGCCAACGTCCCGCAGGAAGGCCTCCACGCTCAGCTCGACCTCTTCGTAGAACCGGGCGGCGCAGGCGGCGGAATCTTGAAACTCCCATGACTCTGAGAAGCCGAAGACAAGGCGGGAGGCGTCGGAGGAGAGTGCATCCATGTAGCGCCCCCTCTCAATAGAGTCGACGACGGCCTCGACGAGGGGGCGGAATGATTGACGTGAGGAAAGGGAGGATGAAGGAGGAGTCGGGGAAGCAGGAGGGAAGAAAGGGAGTTCCCGGTATAGAGTGCAGCGGATGAGGCGGAGCTCGACGGACTTGAGGAAGCCGGGATCGGAGACGCCCATGGCGTCGAAGCGTATTGGGTTGACTAGGGTTTGGAATCGAGACGGCCGACGAGGCAGCGGGACGATAGTGTATAATATATAAACAGTTATCCCTTATTTTCATATTTATCTTTATAATTTTCTGAAATAACGTAGTTGCCCTTTCACGGACACACAACTATCAAAATCACCCTTGCTGTTAACATTGTTCCTACTAAATATTTTTGACATTGCAATGAATAATTTTTAAGGATTCCCACGTGAAATGAGAAGATGACACCTGCAAGTGATAGGTTGGGTCACATCATGAGCCCACTAGTCCGCAATGGAGGTAACATGGTTGGACAAGTGTCATCATAATCTTATGATTTTCGAATTTAGGATACTCAATTATCTATCATTTTTTACTATATATTTATTTCTCATGATCTACTATAATAATCCTAGGTATACTAGTCTATAATTATAATTAATTTTTAATAGTTTTGACACTCAGACTAAGCTCTTCTAATTCATTTGCTAACTTAAACATAAGAGAGATTTTATTGTGTTGAATTTTGAATTTTAATAATAAAATCAATTGATGGATTTATAGTCTAATCAATGTTTGAGAAAAGTGATGTAGGATTAATTTTCATCATAAAAAGATAAATTGATTAAAGTAAGAGAATCAGACGTTAGGCCGAAGTTAGAGTTCATGTATCAAACCAGAAGGATCGGGCATTGTATCAAGATCAGATGTTGTGGGAGGTTAACATGCCAATAGATCGAACAATACGTCGAAAGAAAGGATGATGTGTCGAAGGTTCTAACGAAGTGTCGGATAAATAAATGAGAAGCCAGACAACATGTTGAAGGCTTCATAATTGAATTAGAGTTGTTAAGTCTTGATAAAAATTGTTTATAGTCTAATTGAGTTGGTTTTGAGGCGTAACCATGCCAACTTGATTATAAGTCTATTGGGCCTGAACCAGAGCTGAATTGGACTTATTGAAAAAATTAATGACCTAGGGTTGTGTTGGGCGGTGGTACTACCAGAGCCCGGGTTCCCAAGCTATCAAGCGGTAGTATTGCCCAAGCGGGTGGTGGTATCACTAGAGCTTAGGTTCTTAGGCTGTCAAGCGGTAGTATCACCCAAGCAAGTGATGGAACTGTCAGAGCCCATTTTCCCACGCTCTATATTGTAGTAGTACCGCCCGACGTAGGTGGTAGTACTGCCAGTACCCCGAAAACCCAGAGAATTAATTTTTTGGCCTAATTTTTTAAGTCATCTTGGGTCTATAAATACCTTACTCATGCTTGCTTGGTAAAAGCATGATAACTTGATATTTGAAGTGTGTAAACTCTCTTAAAAAGTATTGAGGTGTAAGGTTTTCTTATAAACGAGATGTGTGATCTTAAGCCTATGAAAAAAAGAGCGTTGTAACAAGGGTGGTTGATCTTCGCCCATTGAAAAAAAGATCTGTAGTGAAAGTCGATAACCTCGAGAGAAAAGGAATCGGGAGTGAACATAGGTTAGGACGACCGAATCACTATAAATCTTATTTGCATTTCTCTTTATGTTTTTCCTTACAATTACGACTGATTTAGTTGCTTACTACCCTTACTTACATTTTAAGTTAAACCCATTTTTGATACATACTTTTTGATTGAAAATTTTCAAATCAAAACTTTATTCTGAAAGTACTAATTCACCCACCCCCCTCCCCCCCTCTTAGTGCCTTTATGATCCTAACAACTATCATGATCTCTTCATGTTCTAATTCTCATTGCATTAATCCAAAAACATTATAATATATATTAATCATATAATATAAAGTGAGAAAAATATTATAATAATAATAATTAAAAAGATTGTGTAATGTATCACATATGTCATTACTCATGTGATTGGCTTACAATACACTTGTAAATAGCATCTCCTTTATATCTTTTTCGATTTTTAGAACTCTTTCTAGCACATCAGCAAATGCTCGGAGCTTTAAAGCTGATATCCAACTTCTTATTGCTTGCTTTAGTCCCCTTTCAAATCTCTTCGCCTTTCTTGATTCATTAATCACTCTATAAAAGTTACTAAACCTTAATGTTTGTTGCACATCTAGCATATCTAATATCTTAGTGATTCTTAAATCATGCACTAATACTATCTCTGTCACACCCTTAAATTTACATACTCAATGGGTGCAAACCTATCTTAATTCAATAATATTATAATCCATCCATAATCTAAACCCGAGATCCAAAATAATATTTGAGAACACTAAAAAATATTCAAACATTATTCACATGTAGAAAACCTATGCAGTTTATATTCATACTGTTGGAAAATCTGGGGCGATATCACATGCATAGTGGAAAAACAGAAAAAAAATCTTAGAATTTCTTATAGAAAATAAGGTTTCAACGTCGTGCAAAAATTGGTGCATAAAAACTCGCGAAACAAAAAAACTACATGTATAAGATATATTGTGTTACCTAGGGAGATCGTATATCCCTGAATTCCTACAAATTTGTAATAGATTATAAAAGAGGTCAACCATCCTCCTCCCTAGCGATGATCCACATGACAAGGGTTGTGAAGACGAGCTCCTCAAATTATTGTCCAAATCTCCTCTTTGCGCACACCACACAATCAAGAATAGGTGGCCCTTCTTGTTGTCCACACACCCCAAATAAGGGCTATAGGTTAAGGAGGAGAAGAGGAGAGTAGGATGTAGTGCTGGTCATATGTGCCATGTAAGCCAATCATATGAGTGATAGCACGTGTGACATGATATGTATTCTTTTTGCTTATTATATTATTTGATATTTTATCACTTTATATTATTTGTTGCATTAATATATTATAATGTCCATGGATTTATGCAATGGAAATCGGATCATGATGAGATTATAATAATGAGACCGATTTGCCTTTAAACACAGATCCTAAATAATCTCGGTCATAGGTTACTCGAGAGGGACATCGAGATAACCGGACAAACTGGTGTATTATATACTCATACATATGATGGAGGTAGCTGTATATCCCTTAATCCTTGTAGATCTGTAGGAGAGGATGAAGGAGGCCAAGCATCCTCTCTAGCGGTGATCCACACAACAGGGTTACGATGACGCTCCTTGAATCACTGTTGAAATCTCCACACCTACTATCCGATGAGTAGAATGGGAGGGGAGAATAACAGGTGGCAACCACCATATCGTTCTTGATCCTAACATAGTTGTCTCCATCATATGTATGGGTATACAGTACACAAGTCTGTCCGGTTATCTCGATGTTCCTCTCGAGTAACCTAAGATCGAGATTATTTAGGATCTGTGTTTAAAGGCGAATCAGTCTCATTATCGTGATCTCATCATGATCCGATTCCCATTGCACAGATCCATGGACATCACAATATATTCATGCAATATACAATATAAAGTGATAAAATTATTGAATCTCAGATTTTGATGATGAAACCAATTGATAAGTGTTTATGATTTGATATGAGTTTTGAGTGATGCAGGATGCTTTGATTAGGGAGAGATATATAAAGCAGGAAGAATCATGTTAAGCCGGAGAAACATGTCAGAAGATTGGACGTCACACCGAAGGATCGGTCGACGTATCAATAGAAAGCTTCGGGCCATGAGTTTAAGCATCGGGCTAAGAAGAGCAGATATCAGAGTAGTAGAGGTCAACTAGCCAATTGGGCAATAAGCCGCAAGAGAGGACGATGCGCCGAAGAATCAGACGAAGCGTCGATGGACCAATGACATGCCAGACAACATGATTCATGCTTAGTAATAATTGTCTAGATCGAAGTGTGTTTTACGTGTGCAGGATTAACTATGAGAGTAATACATAAAGCAAAATGAAGTTCCAAAGTCGAGAACGAGATTTCGTTGGGAGTTCGAGAGTTTGTCAGAAATCTGGACGTTCATCGGAAGTTCTGCCAGAACCAATCAAGAAGTCCAGGAGCTTGCTAAAGAAGCTCATCGGAACTCACCAAGAAGATCGTCGTGAAGTCCAGGAGCTTGCCAGGAGTTCGCTGGAACATTGCCGAGAGTTCGTCGGAAGTTCACTAGAAGATCACTGGAAGCTCGTCGGAAGAAACTAGACTTACAAACTTGTTTAGCTTAGTAAATATCTTAGAATTCGTAGTTAGCATATAATTGGGATTGAAATTGGGCCAACCCAATTAGGGGCTAGTTAGGCCCATGTATGAATTGTATTAGGCCCAATGAAAAGACCCAAACAGTGACCCAAGAGGTAACACCGTCGTGGCACAGTCTCTGAGACTATGTCAGACGGTGGTATCACCCAGACACAATCTCCGAGAGGTTACAAGCAATGGTACCGCTAGTCTGGGCGATAGTACCACCTAGTGTCAGGCGGTGGTACCGCTAGATTGAGCGGTGGTACCACCCGTACCCAGGAGACCCGGATAAGATATTTTTAGGCTCCAAGTTTGAATCAACTTGAAGCCTATAAATACCCCTTTCATTCCTAGTTAAAAAACACACAACTGAGAGCAAAAAAAAAAAGAAAACTCTGTTGCAATTATGTGTAAAACTCCTCTCAAAGTTCTAAGTGTTAGAATAGTTTAAGAGAGGAGTGAGTGGGGGTGTAAGGGTTATCTCCTAAACCCGGTAAAAAGAGAATCAAGTTATAAAATGTGGTTGGTCTTCGCCTATTGAATGAAGACCGATAGTGGATGCCGGTGGCCTCGACGGAAGAGGAATCGGTAGAGTGGATGTAGGTCACGATGATCAAACTACTATAAAAATCTGGTTTACGTTTTGTCTTGAGCAATTTACTTTAACTGCAAACCATTATACTTGCTTACTGCTTTCAATACATTTACGAATGTGTTTTAAGTTAAGATCTTTATGAAACAGTTTTCGTCGGAATTGGTTTTAATCGAAATGAAATGATTTGAATCCGTGATTTTACCACTGCACTAATTCACCCCCTGCTCTTAGTGCCGACTCGTTCCTAACAGTTGATATCAGAGCCTCGTATTTCTCATTTGGTTTAACACCTAAGAGAAATGTCTCATTTCGGCTTTCAAGAGGGTTACTCTCTCATTCGTC